TTTCCCTTTTTTCTGGTGTTGTACGACATTTACTGTGGGTGAAGGAATGAGTTCTGCGCCAGACAATTTTCAGACGCGGAAGGGTATCAGTTTGCTGGTAACAACTCCGAAAATCTCTCGCGAGAATACCAAGCGGGTCTTTGTATAAAGTGTTTTCAGTGGGTATTTCTCATTTTTCGGTGAGAACCGTAGTGCAACTGCAAGTTTATAGCTGAGCACCCAAACCCACGAGACGTGCGTTTGAGTTCGAGCTATACAGGCAAACCGTGCTCTTGCCTCCGTGGATGCTGATCCGCAGTGTTCGAGGTGAGTGGGCCTGCAGCTGTATAGGTTCAGGAACGGGGCTGGAGAGCAGTGCGAAAAGCACATCTGATATTAGCGTATGAAACACGTCCCGTGATCTATGTCCCATTGCAGAAGGCTAATTCAACCATTCCTAGTTTGTATTTCTCCACAGTGTGCTCATACAGGTGGAAGGGGCAATAAAAAGTCACTTATCTTCCTCGACTTTCGAGAAGATAAAAGTTACACTTTATTGGATTCTGATTGGACATTTTCACCATCATGTTCAACAACACATTGTACACTATCACGACTCCGCCACAGCCTTCTGGACGAGCGCCATCGAGAGATTCTGCCACGCGACCGTGATTCGGTGCCTGAGTTCAGCGAGGTCGTTGATTTCTCCGCCACTGTAGACCACCCTGTTGAGCTCCGCCCGAACCCGGTAATTGAGGGGGTTTAGGTCAGGTGACACACTTGGATATTCCGTCTTCTTCAGGTTCTCAACGCCCTTCGATTCCAAGTAGGCGAGAGTTTTTCCAACGCCCTTCGATTCCACGTGCTGGCACTCCTGTAGCAGTACGAAGTTTCCATAACCGTCAGCGTTCACTTTCAGTCCGGGGTCCACGAAGAAAATATCGGTCTTCCCATTCCAGGAACTTCCGGTCCATCCACCAACCCGCGCCTTGGCGACTGCGGTGAAGATGATATCCTGGACCGTAGCGACGTTGTCGGAGCTGCTCGATTGGAGGTCTTCCAGATTGAGAGTGCCGGTCTCCAGGTAGCTGTCCATGGGTGACTCCATACTAGAAGTTTCGCAGCTGTTTGGAGGTGACGTGAATTCCATAGGCCTTCTCCAGTGCTGCAATTGGAGATCACTTCATATTTTGGTGTGCATGAAAAGTGGCACATCAATGCCATCAAGGGCAAAAGGGAAGAATTCAATACCTAATTTCGTTTCTTTGTCCCAGTTTATACACTGCGCTCACATTCCTTGAATACATATGTAAGTCTGAATAATTTTGATTCATAATTAGAAAACATAAAAGCAATGATGTCTTACAATTTTTCATGCTTTACACTTCCATTGATAGATTACTGTAACTCTTCTTATAGGATCATTCACGACAACGGTTTCTCAGCAGATGAAGCGGAGCAGAAGATCGCGGTTGTAAGCGCGAATACCGTTCAATCAATCGGTGCGCTCATCGATGGAATGAAGACTTTAAATATTCCGTTTGCTTCCAAGCAAAGCCTGGTACGAAATGTTTAGTCAAGTTTATATTCCCTTGATTCTTCACCCATTGCGTACCGCGGCGTTTTCGCGAAAACCAGCGCCTGTGGCCGACACCTTATTATCGACTGTGAGTCGGTTGATCCCCGACAAATGCGATTCATATCATATACATAAGATATAGAAATGTTTTATATCCTTCGTATTATACATTACTTTTATATCCGTGAATATGAAAAGTGAAATGTATACGATAAAAGTTATGAGCCAAAAAAATATGACAGTAGCCAAAAAGGTCAATAAGTTCAAGAAGGATTGAAAGAAGCGAAAAAAAAATGGACACCAATAAACTGATAAATTTTTTAGTTTTACTATTTGTGAAATTTTTTTCGTGTCACAACAAGGGTTTTGGCTTTACTGTTTACTAAGAAACAAGCAAAATATTTAGTAGCTGAAGAATTTCTCAAAAAAATCTCATTAACGTAATCCTAGTTTTGATTCTGCTGGCACGTTTTCAGACATATGGTTGTTTGTTCCGAGGTGGAGGTGATGTAGTGACAAGTGCTATGGGACCACGCGAGTGGCTTACCACTCGCGCGGTCCCATAGCATGCTTGGTTATCCCGGGTCGACTCCGCCCAGGCCAACTAAGCATGCTTCTCCAGGGACGGTTAAATGCGTATCAGATGTCGTATGGGAGGAGAAAGCAGACACGGCATGGTTATCCTGCAAAAAAAGAACACGGCTGCTTCATCTCAATCCCTTCGCTTCATATTTTACTTCGCAAAGAATACGAGTATCCGGTACGGTCGTCCATTTGTGGGCCGACGGGCGCAGTAGGCGTCCAGACAGTATGCCTGCAACTGTGATAATACTCAGAGGGGTGGTCCCCTTTGGAAGAGGCCTGCTTTGCGCCCTACTCAGGGACAGCGGAATTTTCCGTCCTGCGGCGTATTTGACTACTCGTCTAGGGTTTTTAACTCGTGTTTGACTGCCTTTGAAGTCCATTCTGGAATTGTTTCACCAGTAAAAGGACCCTGTGCAAGGTCGCTGCGAAGTCGAATGACAAATGACGGCCATTTTCCAATCTAAAGCTGCAGGGGGAACGGAGTACGGGGGAGGGGAGGAGCCGGATGAAGTCGCACAAGTCGCTAAAGACACCATGGTACCTTAAACAATTGAGGGTGTATGAGACTATCAGCCCCCAGCTGTCGATGTGTCGTGGTCCCCCCGCCCAAAACTGCACGGGGTCAGAGTACGGGCCGTGGGAAAGTCGTAACTCCTTGCTACGCCGCCCATTTCGTAAGCTCACGTTTATACTTCCACCGTCAGCGCGGCGCGGTCGCGTGCAGTCTCTTGGCTTTTTGCCAGGGCGCGGCGCGGTTGCGTGCAGTCTCTTGGCTTTTTGCCAGGGCGCGGCGCGGTCGCGTGCAGCTCTATTGGCTTTTTGCCAATTCCTGCAATTGCGCTTCGGCAATAAGAAAAACGTGTGGGCAATTCTTAATGCAGGTAACATTATAGGTGCTGCAAAATGGGACCGGAGATGATGACGTGAGGTAGAGTTCTGAAGCAACTGTGCTGCTTCTGCAATATTCCTCGGAGGCCGCGCATTTCCACGAACCTGAAAATAAAAAAAAGGCCTAAGGCCGCGTTCACACATGATGCAGAAAATTGCAAAAACAAGAAAATATGTCTATCGATTTCAAAAACCATGGAATATGCAGAAGTGCGGAATTTGCAGAAATGCCGATGGACCGATCGATCCCTATCGCTTCTTTGTCCGCAATTTCTGCATGTCGGCAAATTCCGCACGACGGCAGGGAAGAACCAGTCGATCCCTATCAATTCTTTGTCTGCAATTTCTGCATGTCGGCAAATTCCGCGGAATTTGAAGAAATGCAGTTTTCAGATCGATACGTATATATTTCCTTTCTGCATTTCTGCATCGTGTATGAACGCGGCCTGAGCGCGCCCCACTTGTTTCAAATATTTTGATAGCTTTAGAGTCGGATTCGAGCCGGATCGAGAAATTCACACGCGATTTGAACTTGTTAATTTTGTTTCTTTTCTTTAGTTTTTTTTCAATATTGTTTTATTTTCTTCACTGGTTGTTCTTTCATTTTCTAGCCTTGTTATCCTTCAACCAGCCGACTCTTTCGGAGTTTGAACACCGCAACACCTCAAATGTTAGTAAATTGCGTTTTGCTTGTACTGTCGTGTTTTATTTTCACGTTGTCCGTTTTTATTGTCTTGTTCTGTGGGAATGTGCGGTCTCAGAGGAACGCTGCAGGAACCGCGCAGTTGCTTTAGAACTCTACCTCACGTCATCATCTCCGGTCCTTATTTTGCAGCACCTATAATGTTACCTGCATTACACGCAACCACTATCGCGCTTTCTTGTATTCCGAAGCGCAATTGCAGGAATTGCAAAAAAGGCAATAGAACTGCGGCGCGAAAAGATAACTGGCCGGCGCCCCTGGCATTAAAGCCAAGAGACTTGCACGCACGGACCGCGGGTCGTGCGCCGCGCCCTGGCAAAAAGCCAAGAGACTGCACGCGACCGCGCCGCGCTGACGGTGGAAGTATAAACGTGAGCTTACGAAATGGGCGGCGTAGCAAGGAGTTACGACTTTCCCACGGCCCGTACTCTGACCCCGTGCAGTTTTGGGCGGGGGGACCACGACACATCGACAGCTGGGGGGCTGATAGTCTCATACACCCTCAATGTGTTTGAGCGTACCATGTGTCTTTAAAGTATTTTTGAGCGAAGTGGACCGCCCTATTCGCTTGAATGTCGATTAATCTCGCGCGACTTTTTTATTTAAAATACGATTATTCTGGATCAAAAAACAAACGTCTCACGAAGGGCGAAATTCGCATCATTGGATTGATGGCCTGCAAGGAATCTGTTTTGTAATAATACTTAAAAAACACTTTTGTTCTCCCTGTAATATGATCAACCTCGAAATCTTTTTAAGGACTACGCGGCATACGTCAAGAAGGTCCTGGACAAAAAAGAAGAGTTCCAGCCGATGTCCGAGGAAATGTATAAGTAAGTTATGAATCTGGTTTTTATATTTTTCTGAAGTCGTGTAAATTAAAGAAGTAATCAATAACTTTTGCTATAAGCATTTGAAATTTTGTATTGGTACATAAAATGCAACTGAAAAATAATAAAAATAAGATGTGAATGATGCACGACGATTAAAAATAATCAAACTTCTCTTCAATTTTAACTTAATTTTAGGGCTATCAAGACATTGTGGAACGACAAGGGAGTAGAAGCCGCATATGAACGAAGGGACGAGTTCTATCTTCACGATTCTGCTAAATAGTAAGTTAAAAACTTCAAACACTTCATTGCTACTCAACAGCCTCGATAGATTCCGACCTTAAAGAATACACAATAATGATGTGGTTCGCTACTTGCTTCTAGCTCTATGCAAAAACTGGTATTTACAATCGCTATCAGTCGATGAGGCGGAGGTGTAGTGGCAAGAGACACGCTTACCGATCGCGCGGTCGGGGTTCAAGTCTTGGATCGACTTCCTCCCAGACCCAACGAGCCCTCTGTCTTCCAGGGACGGTATATTGGTACCAGATTTGTCTGGGAGGATAAGAACACTGACTTGTACATCGGCTGGCCCCGCAAGTCATTGTATAGGCCACATCGCATTCAATAAGCCACTACGATTCTGAATGGAAGTAGAATGCGTGCCGCATCCCAAAAGGGACTAATCAACAGCGAACACTTTATTTTGTCAGTCGGTGGGAATTTACCCTTCAGGAGTTTGCATCAAACGACCATCCCAATTGGTTACTCATTTCCTGGTTCCACGGCTTGCAACTAATCTTATTCCAAATCTATTCTGGAGCGCACATGACCCCACACGCTGCGTTTTGTCTCATTACGCCCAAATTGTCGCAAACTACCGAACAGTATCATTGGAAGCCCGGTCTTCCTCATGGTCAGCTCAAAAAATATTGGAGTATTGTGCTGTCCCGGAATCTCATTTCTTATCTGAATGTGTAGTAACAATGTGAAACTCCAAAAATTTATTCCAAAAAACTATTTTTTGGAAATAAATTTTTGGAGTTTTACATTCTTACTACACATTCAGATCAAAAATTATTGTTTGTTATCACTGACTATCACATTTCAAACAATTCCTTTTTATAGCAGCAGTTCTTGTTCGGTACAATATTACAACCATAACCTGTGCTCACTGCTCATTTATTATCCCATTGCTCTTTTCCATGTATTTTCCATTTAATTCACTTAATTAATTGTCGCCGATTCTTTATTTGTCATCCTCAGTGATGAAACATCACTCCCGTGGAACCCTACATAGATCCATCTTCCTTGGAACGATGCGAAAACGAGATTAGTCTTCATCAAACCAGAGATCTGAGTGAGAACTCAACAATCAAAAGGAATCTTTCTCAGGAAGAAGTACGACTCTCTCCTCTACAGCATCAAACATCACCTCGCGGAAAAATGCTCGGTCGGTCCGACCCCTCCAGTGAAATGCCTAAACAACTTCTTTCTTTTATAAGGCTGATTTGTCCTCTTTGCTACTTGTTTGTTATCACTGACTATCACTTTTCAGCTGTGCAGTTGGAACCCTACTGACCTTCTAGATTTCCTTTAGGCTTCCATCCTTTTAGGAACGGAAAACTTAGTCCGCAGGCACTCTTAGGGCAAAAGGGTGAACGGCACTCGTGATCGCCTGGGGAGGACCTACCAAAACTACTCCAAGCGAATGTGCAGCATGCACCACCGCTTTAGTCCAAAATCAACGCGGAAAGTTTTTTTCGCGAGCGCGGGTTCCTTACATACTTTCCATTGAACATAACTTTATCAAGAAATAACGTGGAAGGATGACTCACACGTCTCTGAGAACCATAGGAGTCTCTCTTATTAAAACAAAAGCACCAGCTTTATATTATGATAACTGCTGTTTTACGCCGCAGTTCGCGCTTCGAAAGTTACCACAAGAATGCTGAGTTACCCGCACCTCACGCTTTCCGGGCGAGTGCGCTATCCGTTAAGCGCTCGCTAGGAAAGCATGAGGTGCCGGTTTGACTCCCGCCTGGGGTGGTGAAAAGAACAAGTTTTTCGACTCTACAGCAAAGTTAGCCTGTGGGTCCCTTTGCCACATTGCCCAGTTTTCTAGCTGAAAACCTCGGACGGCTTCAGGTACGGCTACTCCACTAAGTATTTAGAAGTGTAGCACAGAGGCGCTTATCAACCTTTCTCCTCCTATGGACTGCGCCTCATTCTGGACTTTCATTTAAAATCTAGTGGCATTCATAGGTGTACGGGGCCTTATAAAGCAACTCTCTGAGTCAGCAGATGGATTCCGCGTGTCTTGCAAATATTGCCGCTGCTCTTTTTGAAATCTGTACGTACGATTCCTCTCCCTCACAGCAAGTAGCATACGACCCTATGTCAAGGATTCCCTTGACGTCGTTCCCCCAGAGCTAGATACACCCCTTTTGTGATTTCCGCAACGATGATGTGCTCTGTGTCTATATACAGGGGGGGGGGGGGCAAAAAAAGTCACTTCGACCGAGTCACATATCAGCAAAGTTTTCGCTGCCCAGACAGAGGACGTGGATACGAGTACCAGGGCGGAAGATACCCAAGATGTTCCTCTATAAGCAGGAGCTGGCTCTCGCATCACCTTCATGTACACCAAAATATGAAGTCATCTCCAGTTGCAGCCTGACTGGAAAACACTTATGGAATTCATG